ACCATACCACTGTAATGGCAGAATGATTCTACTTACTGTTTTAATTACTTTCCCCAATTATGATAGCCAACACTAGCCCTTTTTGGCATAATGGTTATGAATTGGGCTGCCACCCACCAGGTCAGAGGGTCAGAGCCACCAGCTGCTCCGTGGGAGACAAACAGGGCTCTCTGCTCCTGTAAAGAGTTATAGTCCCAGAAACCCACAGGGGCAGTGCTGCCCTGCCTACAGGGTCGCTGTAGTGTGGAACCCACTACACCATCAGGCCCATTGGTATGTTTGAGCCATTGTTGCAACCACTGTGTCCATTTATCTCATCGAGGGTCTGGGATGCTCCTGCATTTTACCAAGCATGATGATATAGTCTCCTGACAAAATACAGAGTTAATTCTTGAAGGAACTCGAAGAGGGGCTTGGGACAGCCCTCTGGAAATGGCAAGTGACAAGAAGACATACTGCATGTCGTCAGTTAGGTCATAGAAGGTGGAGCCCTGGTTGCACGGCAGTTCAGCACTGGGCTGCTCAGCAAAAGGTCCACTGTTCACGCTCACCAACAACACAGCAGGAGAAAGATGTGGTGATCTGCCCTCATCATGAGTATAAGCTTGGAACTGTCAGGCAATTGCACGCTGCCCTGTAGCGGGCTATGTGTCAGAATCAACTTCACAGTACACAACAGCAGATTGTGGAGAGCTAAAAAATTACTGCTAACAATCCTGAAGCTAGCCTAACATTAGCCTGTATAAAACCAACACCAAACACACTGCCATCGAGTCAGTGCTGACTCGTAAGCCACTCCCTGTGGGATTCCGAGACTGTAACTGTTTATGGGAGTAGAAAGCCCAGTCTTTCTCCAGAGGAGTGCTGGTGGTTTCGAACTGCTGACCATGAGTTTCAAAGCCCAACATATAACCATTACGCTGCCATGGCTCCTTTAGCCTATATAATGAGGACAATGATAATTACAAACATTTATTGAAAACTTACTTTATATTAGGGACAGCACTAAATTCCTTGCTTGAATTATCTTTTAATAAGGCTTGAATACCCTACCCTATAAATAAGCAAAATCTCCCATTACTTGACACCTCAACACTCCATATTGCAAAGCCAGTCTTTAACACAATTGTGAACTTTGGTACACAGCATCAGTTCTCAAATATTCTGGTCTCATGGACCCCTTTACATTCTTAACAATTAGCAAGAACCAAAAGAGAGCATTTGCTTATGTGAGTGCATCTGTTGATAGTTACCATACTGGAAATTAAAACAAACATTTCTTTTAAGTTGCATGTTCACACATAGAGGATAAAGTTCTTGGGAAATTTTTATTATCTTTGAATTCCATTTTTCCACACATTTTTGAAGTCCCTTCATAAAATCACATGCTTCATGAAAAATCATAGCTCAATTTTCCAAAACAAAAAGAGCTTGGCAGTGAGAGCGGCATCGTTACACATTTTTTTGCAAATCTCTTTCATATTTGGTTTCTCTATGGCAGCTGGATGTGCCTATCTACTTCTGCATTCAATCTGCTGTAAGTTGTTGTCCTCATTGTTTTGATTGAAGTAACGCGACAGAAGCCAGTCTCGGACAGGTCGGTAATAAGCCCAGGTGCCATCTGATGGTTCTAAATGGAGACCCTGTGTGTCAGAGTAGAACTGTGCTCCGCCGAGTTTCATGTGCTGAATTTGGGTGTGGATTGCCGGGACTTTCTTCTGGGCTGTCTTGAGATGGCTCAGCCCACCTAGAGTGAGGACCCAACTGGGTGGCTCCTATTTGTCCCTCCCAGGTGTTCTCAGACAGGGGAGGAGGATTTTACTAGCCTTTTCATATCGTTGTGGATATTCTTGCATGATCCTACACCAAACTCTGCAAATGGCCGTCTCTGCACACTCAAAAAGGAGATGAAAGGAGATCAAGGAAACCTTGTCCTCACCTTTTGAGGAAAATAGTTTCACCAGAAAGTTTCTCAATGGTCCGAAATCATCCTGCAGTGGTGTCTGGAATAGTCGGGGATCCCCTCAGCACACTTTGAGAATGCTTTTAGGAGGCTAAGAAACAGCCCCAAAGGCCGCGTTCATGGCTTATTTATTCCAGTATGGTCTCTCGAGGCAGCAAAGAAAAGAAACCGAAGATGGGGGCCCTCCTCTCTTCCGACACGAACTCATTGGCCAGCCTTGGACACGCACTGTGAATTGTATGGCCCCAGTCATTATTTCCTTCTGTTCCTGCCACGGAGGTGCCTGGGTGACACATATGGTTTGTTCTCACAGCTAACAGAAAGATTGATGGTCTGAATGCCACCACAGGCCCTGCCAAAGAAAGGTCTGGCAATCTGCTGCCATAAAGAATTCAACCAAGAAAGCTCTCTGGTTTGAAGTTCACCATGCATCCATCTGACGCAATAGCAATAGTTCATTTTCTGTTGTTTTGGTTTTGGCGGGGGTGGGGGTCTGGAGGGTTGGGGCTGGAGCACTTGCTAAGACAGAGCATGGATATGTAATGCTTGTAAAGAAGCAATAAACATAAACCTGTGATTCTTTAGTTCAACGCAGTTTGCCCTCGAGCAACTTGAAATATGCCATGTCTACTATGTAGATACGGTTGATGCTTTCTTTGAGAGACTTGATAAGGCATAACTAATCATACTCGAAGTTTTTAAAAATGAGTTAATATTAGTATTGTTGAAATCATGATAGATTTCAAACTATCAGTCTTCTTGAAATCAAAATTGATCCCTCAATTATTCTTTCCACTTATAAGCAGGAATTTAAAGTAGGAGCTTTGTCTGTAAAAGAAAAAAATCTATGTCGAGCCACTGACATCAGTCTCATTTATTTATTTTTAAATTATGAAGCTGCATGCTGCCCTATGTTTGTATAAACTACACACTAATGTGGAAAAGGAATAGTTTTCAGCTTTTTATAGTCCCCCGCCCCCCACCCGCTTTTATTACTATGCCTCTATTTGCTGGCTAACCAATCAGATGATTTTATTGTTACTTGGGGGTGTGCACGAGGCCTTGTCTACCTGCATATGTTCGACCTATTAACTTGCATCATATTTTCATGATAGTAAGTCACTACTAATAATACACATTGGCTTTAATACAGATTTTTTCTAGAGCTTGGGGAGAGAATATATATGTATTCGTGGAATAGCGGTTACCTTTTGGACTTCTAACCAAAGAGTGGCAGTTCGAAATCACCACCCACTCTGCCGCAGAACGATGAGGCTTTCTACTCCAGTGAAGAGTTAGTCTCAGAAACCATAGGGGCAGAGCCACCGTGCTATAGCGTCACTATGAGTCGGAAGCAACGTCAGGGCAGTGAGTTATTTGAGTGAGACTATTTGAATGTCTTCCTTATTTTTAATGAAATATTCATTTAAATATTTTATTAGACATGAAATGGTTATCCCTGACGTCTATGCATATAGTTCAATTTTCATTTTAGACCATGAAGAGATCCCTCCCAAAATTATTTGTTCAGAGTCTGTGCTCTGTGATGGGTATGGAGGGAGAAACTATTCACTTACAGAAATTTTACAAGCAAATGAACCCAAAGCGTTAATGTATTCCCTTTCCTTTTTACTTTTTGGCATAAATTTGTACTGTGATCACCAGAGTGACAGATAGGTCTGTTTGAGCTGTGTATCAATGTAGCATACCAATTAACAAGTAATGAATTTTTACGTTGGTGACCTCATTCGATTCCCTACCTCACACCCAAGACGTTATATAACTTATTTTTTTAATCCAATTGTTTGAAAAATGTGTGATGGCATTTGGACACATTTTGTAAAATATCTTCCTGCTCAAGCATCATCAACAAGGGCTGAAATCCCTGCCTGCAGGGGGAATGTGCTGCATCTAACAACAGGGACACCTGCCCCCTCTTTCCCCCCACCCCAAGGAAAACGTCAGAGGCAAGGCATTAGGAAATGTGGGAATCCAATCATTACATTTTTTGTTTGTTTGGAAATTCTGTTATAAATTGCTAGTAACTAGACTTTTAGGTTTGAGTTCTTACACTTAAAAATAAAATGCATAGATATTCAAGAAAATATGATCAGTGGTTTTCTCGGGATCACAAAGCTGAGGGTAAGATGAGGGCAAAGAAAAACTTTGTTCTCCTGCTGAACATTTCTTAAACCCTCTTCCCTAACTATATCCACTGTGTTCGCTGCCTATTGCTGCCTAGTATGTTATATGACAGTGCTTAAAACAAGTGTTCATTCCCCGTTAGCCTCGGGGGAGCAGGGATCTGAGCATGGTTGAACTGCGTGCTTCTCGCTCCGGGCTGCCATCAAGCAGTCCGCCTGGGGTGTGGTCTCGTGTGAAGTCTGGACCGGAGTTCTTTTCCAAGGTCATTCATGTGGCTGTTGCTGGCCTCCATCCTCACTGGCTGCTGAGTAAACGTATCAGCTCTGTACCACAGCAGGCCTTCTTCATGGATGAGAGTTCACTTCCCTCAGAGCCAAGAAACCAAGCGACAGAGAATACGTGAGGGGCCCCAGATGGAAGCCAGAGTCTTTTCACAACTTAATCTTAGAAGTGATACCCCACTACGTCGACCACCTTCTGTCATGGAAGTGAGTCTCTAAGTCCAGTCCACACTCAAGGGGTGAGGATTAGACACGGACTGGTATACCTGGAGACTGGCATCATTCAGGACTATCGCCCTTTATAGATAATGGATGCTAATTTGGTAAATGGCAAGAAGCACTGGACCACAGATGAGAAAAGACATTTTAAAACCTTTGTCTGATTTCTTGATCACTCTTACTGTCCCATCTAAAGTTTCTTGAAAGCTTAGCTTGTAATATTTTCATCGATCAAGGTCAATTCTAATTTATTTCATGATCATTAGTTGGATCTCATTAAGAACACTCTATGTGACCAACGGAAGGAAATCCTTGCAAAGGGAAGATGTCAGTTTAACTTTACTATTTGCTGCCAGATGCATACCAATCTTGTGTATTCCTCTTTTCCAAAGGGAGAACCAGGCTTCATTGGTCCTCAAGGGGAACCAGGCTTACCAGGACTGCCGGGAACAAAGGTAGGTGGAGTGTTTTCCCCTTTCTGTCTTTATGGAACTTCTTTCTGAATTTCTCATCTCAGCTTAAGGTAAGATGGGTCGACCTCATGATATAGATGGCCAGATATCTTTGCCTTATAGAAAAGTAAGGCAGCCTCTTCCTCCTGTTTCTAACACTTCTAAATGGGGATGTCATGTCAAGTAGAGTGATGGGACGTTAATTCCACAAAGTCTAAGTCCAAATGACAGAATGGTAGAATGCATGACACGTTCCAGTCATCTCCCATGTCTCCCTTACGCCGGTAAGAGGCACGTGCGGGAACGTGGCGGCCTTCTGAAGAGCAGAGAGCACCAGCAACACGTAACTCCTGCGCCTCATCTTTGCTTGTAGGATGTAATTGTAAATCAAGCATGATGACTATTCCCCGTCATGCCCTCAATTTCAAAGGTGAATACTGATGCCATATAGTGCACCCCAAATAGTCTGCAGAACAACTCCATCGTGAAAACCTTCTCAGGAGCCTCTACTTGGCCATCCTTTAAGGGCCCCTAAAAGCACAGTCTCTATGCCACCATGTGTAAAATCAATCCATCAGTAAACAATGTTGCCAGCAGGGCAGGCCTCTATTCTCTGTTTATCTGCCCAGCAAGATCTAAAAGTTAGCGCTTCACTCGTGACAGACTCATGAGTAAAGGATGGGCAACAGGAGAGGAAACCACAGCCTTTCATTTCTAAACCCATCGGAGTCGTGACCTCGATGTGGATTGCACCCACCGGGAATCAGGCAGGCATGCTTCCCAAGAGGTAGAGAAGGCACATGCACGGTCCTCCCCAACAGAGGGTCCTCGTTTCTGTTCAAGTACCCACAGCGCTACTAGGTTTTGCCCTAGGGGGTAGAACTAACACTTGGTCAACTTACACATAATTGCTGTTTAGAAGCCCTTTCTCTTTCACTTACGCAGGGGCATCGCCTGGGGGTGGCGGGAGAGAAGGGGTGACCTCAAAATGACGGCCTGTAACATTTTTTTACATTTCAGCAGAAATGTGTTATTGTTTTTGAAAATAGCCCTACTATAGTTGGTTACAACAGCAAAAACATTTTTCCCAGGCCCAGCCCAGCTAATACTCTATGCTCATTTACTTTTTGTAACTTCTCTGTGCTGGTCGGAGCTGTCATTATTACGCAGTTATCCTACTGCTGTGAACCATGTGGTTTCAGCTGCAGGTGCCGTAAACACGCACTGCTGTTCTCATTGCTGCTGTGGAGTTAGAGTTGCTCATTACTGTCACAGTTTCTGCTGTTTTAGCTACAGTACTTTGGTAATTAGCACTTATGGACTTATATTCATAACTTTTTGTTAGCTGTAAGTAGTAATTAAAGGAAAAAACTAAAACCAAATGCAATGCTCTCGAGCTCATTCTGACTCATAGCAACCTTCCAGGGCAGGGTAGAAGTGCCCTGTGTGTTTCCAAGGCTGGAACTCTTTAAGAGAGTTGAAAGCCTCGTCTTTCTCCAGCTGAGCGGCTGGTGGTTTCCAACTGTTGACCTCACCATTAGCAGACTAGGTGCTTAGATGCCACCAGGGCCCCGGTATTCATATAATCTGAGTAATAATACATTTACATCATTGACACTGTTTATCATGGATTAAACTAGGATAATAGACATTACTGTAGACTCTGTAGTCTGGTGTGGGAGGAGGCCATGGGGCGAGCTGCAGGGACACCCCGAATTGTCACACTGGTGAGAGGAACCCTAGGGACACCAATGCTCAGAATGAGCCATCAGGCTTATAAACAAAACAGGAGGAGTGTGTCTCCTTCAGTTTGAAGGTATTCACACAAGAAATGTGCTTCCTGGAATGAAAATCAGAAACAAAAGGGGAAGCAAAAGTGACGGGCAGCCCTATTCCTGTGGAAACGGTTGTATTCCATGTGTAGCCACAGAGCCAGGTAAACCAAGACAGTGCAGGGCCGTGGACAGTGGCAGAGAGAACCTGCTTTGACCAAGACTTGGAAATGGTGATGGCCATCTAGTTTGCTAAGCGAGCAGAAATAGAAAGAACACAGGAATAGAGGGCCGAGCTCATCCCTAAATCGATTTCCTTTGTTTGGTTTTAAGCCATGCGGCAATTTCAAATGAATCCACAAGAAACCTCCTCCACAGCTTCACCGACTAGATACTTTAATAACACACACTACACTAACCCCCTCCTCAATTAAACATAAAGAATGCACCGTGCCTTTTACGTCCTTGAAAAGAGAGAAGAATGGGAAATTTGTTTCATTAGTAATAGTTAGAAGTTAACTTTCAGGTGAATTGCCTATACATGATGAATTTAATACTCTGATGGAAAGACCATGATTATCCAAGAAACTGTTTGAGCCAACACTTCAGTTGTGTAGGCAGTCTGAGTCTGTAATCAAATCCAACTGCCATTGAGCCCATTCTGCCTCTACACACATACACATATATATATATATACATACACACACACATACACACCCAGCCAATGAGAGCTCATATGGGCTGGGAAAAAATGTTTTATGCATTGCTGCATCTTCCTTGACTAATAGAGCCCGGAACTAGACCTAGAACAGTCGAAGAGAGTGGAACTTCAGAAGAAGTATTTTAGGATGTTTTGAATGATTTCATGAATTCAGCAAATACATACACAGATATGTATAGACACACACACACAAATATACAGGTGTGTCTCCACCACTTGTCCGTCATGGCTTGTGTGTGCTGTGACGATGTTGGCTGTGTCACTGGTATTTTACGAACCCGCAGTGTCGCCCGAAGCAGACAGGCTTCAGCAGAGCTCCAGACTCAGACCAGAGTGTGAAGAAGACACAGGCTGTCCACTTTGGAGGAGTTAGCTGCTGAAAACCTTAGAGATAGCACGAGCACTTCGTCAGGTCCTGACGGCCTGCTGAATAGAGGCAGACGTTGTCAGAGATCCTTCCAGAAGATGAGTCCCTCAGGTCACTCAACACATGCCCGAGGAAGAGCTGCCTTCTCAAAGTAGAGTCAACCCTCATGGCGCCGATGGAACAAAGCCCGTGGGAGTAAAGCCTTGGGGACATTCATTTGGCGATGGGGCACAACTCAACATGAAAAGAAACAGCTACCAAAAAAGCTACTGAGGAGTGGATCTTGGACTGAACAAAGTATACATCTAGGAATATTGGAAGTCATTAAAAGTGAAACAGAATACATGAAGATCAGTATCCTTGGTGTTAGTGAACGGAAATGGGTTGATCCTGACCACTTGAATCCGAAAAGCCTACTGTTTAGTATTCTGGGAAGGACAGTCAAGAGGAATGGCCTTGCACTCCTTGTCAAAGGGGACTTTTCCAATGCTGTGCAGGTACTGTCGCTTTACCCGTCATGCAAGAAGCCAGGCACTTCTGTGGTGAGGCATCAAGATGTCACGAGGCAAGCTTTGAGAACACTCAGACTCTTGACCTAACAACTCCCCACTAGAAATTCATATGAATCAGAGTATCAAAGATTTGCGTATTCAAATATGTATTCAAAAATGGAATATTGAATTAATCTGTCTTAAAACACAGCTCTCCCACTTTAAAAGGTTTGTGACTTTGGAGGAATTACTTAACCTCTTTCAACCTCAATATGCCTGAAAGATAGGGCGAAAGACACTTACCTCCTTTGCCCTGAGGATTAAGTAGGATAATGCTTCCAGGCTGTCTGTGCAGCCCCTGGCCTCACCAGCAATAATACAAAACAAACCCTACCCGTCCTTCAAGAGAGTCCCTGGGTGATGCAAGTGGCTCATGGGTTTGGCTGTTGACCGGAGGTTGGAGATTGGAGTCCACCCAGATATACTCAAAACAAAGCCCTGGCCACCTGCTTAAGAAGGGCAGCCATTGAAAACCCTAGCCAGGGTGTCCAGTTCTGTTCAGACATACATGGGGGCCCCATGAGTCCAAGACCCCTCAGCAGCACGCGTCTGTTATCCTTTAGGACACGGATCCGGTCTTAGCTCCGTGTGGTTCGTCTAGGACCTTCTCTCACACAAAGCCTTGCATAGCTCCCCGATTCCTAGCTATTTTATTTCTATTGGCTCTCGTCTGACTAGATCACGAGCTCTTGGAAGGAAGCCCCAAGTAAGAAAGTCATGAGTGTAACAAAGGTGTACTCCCTAGATGCCTTTCCCCACTCTAAGCACTCCATGTTGGTTATGCGAACAGTACTCTAATGTTCTTCACATTACAGAGGAATCGAAAGCTTACAGAATCTAACTTATTTGCCTCAGACACAGCACTGGTAAATAGCAGAACCAGAAATAAAATCTAGGAGGTCAGAAGACAAACCCTGTGGTTTAGCCATTTTGCCACACATCTTCCCAGCAGTGCTCTTGAAAATGGCTGTGGAATGAAAATATATGTTCTTCCTAACTTGGTGATGCCTTTCCCAACTTCCTTTAAAGGCCCTGCTTTAGACCAACATACACCTGACAGGCATTTTCCAAAGCATTTCCTTACCTCTACAATGGGTGAGAATGCTCACCTCCTACAGGTGTTTTGATTATTAAACAAGATTCATGCATGCTATGATATTTGTACAGTCCTGGGTGCACAGTAACTAAACAGTGACTTTCTGCTTTGTAAGAGCCCTGGTAGTAGTGGTCATGAGTTGAACTGCTAACTGTGAGGTCAGCAGTTCAAAACCAGCAGCTGCTCCACTGGCGAAAGATGCAGCTTTCTACTCCCATAAAGAGTTAGCATCTCAAAAATCCACAGGGGTCAAGGCAGTTCTACCCTGTCCTCCTGGGAGATCGTAAGTCAAACTTACTTGATGGGAGTGAGCTTGTTTCTGCTTTATTGCTTTTATTTCCTCGGGGATTTATCTAGGAGAACGAGTGTGAGGGGTTGGCATTTACACGCTGTACAATTTGTGACAGGGTGAACGCGGGGCGGCTGGGCCTCCAGGAAGAGGCGAGCGGGGAGAACCGGGCATCCCTGGACCCAAGGTCAGTCACTCTCAACATTGGACAATAACACTCACCAGTCTGGCTATGTGTGCCACTTGTATTAAAACATGAAACTAAAATAAAATTCCAGAATAAGTATTAAACTATCAAAAACGCGCTCTCTCGCTCTCTCTCTCTCTCTCTCTCTTTCACACACACACACACACACACACACACACACACACACACACACACACTGAAATGTATACCAATCGGCTCTTTTCAAAAACAATTTTACAATTCAACTTTTCCAGTTTACTGTGTGCTCTGTGGTGAACAAATTTAATAACACATCCAATGTTAGAGGAGGCGTGTTGTCGTATTAACACTTTATCACTTGGTATGTTTTTAAACTTACCAAGAAAACTGTGGATATATGCTGTGGTTTCCACAGCAACGTGAGGGTGTATAACACCTTGAAAATATTAGAGCTGAGGATTTATTTGACTGTTCAATCTTTTATTCATCTAAACGTCCTCCAGACTAATGTGGCAACACTTTATTTTTATAACCCATCCTAAAGACACAGGAAATGATTTACTCTTTGATGACAAAAGAAATGTATGCGGGCAGCCATTGCTGAGACAAATGAGAATTACACACACAACCTTCCCCATCCTCTGATGGTTCGGAGGACGGTGTTCAGAAATCACATGGGAGGAAGGCAGATGTAGGAGCTAGAGGGTGGACCAGTGACTCTTGGGCAATACTTATGTACAGCGTTACAGTAACCAACAATATAGAGAGCCATATACTGAAGCCATTAAAATAGAGAGTTTCCGTTTTTCCTCATTATCCTGAGTCACTGCTAACTTCTTTTTTTGTTCTTATCTCCTGTCCTTCCTCCTTCTCATCCGCACATTCTCCTGTAATAGGGGAAGCAAGGTGAATCAGGAACTAGAGGCCCAAAGGGGTCCAAGGTCAGTACCATCACCGGATAACCACTTCAATGTGAGACCATCCAGGGCTGTGTGTGTTTCTTCTTTCTCAGAGAAACCTGTTTTAGATTGAATTCTCCACACCAGGGCGTTGTAAGAATTTCTTGCCTATGATGGTATCTCACAACAATTGGTGCGTTTCATCTTGTTTGGTTGTTGTGTGTTCTTGTATTTCAAACTATTCTTGAGAAGAAATTTAATTTCCTGTTTCATAAAAATCACTGCTTCTTGGGAAAAGCTAAAGTTCTGTATTTCATTTAAATATGTATTATGGAATCATGCTCTTTATCCCCTGGGAATCTTTGTAGTAAATCTCCAAATTATACTTTGCTTTTAAATCAGTTGACACCTTTCATTGAATTTAAATGTGATCACCTATTCAAATTCTTTTATCATGGCCTTTATAATATCCACAAATAACCTATACATTATTAGCGAATCGTGTTACTTACTAATAACGGAGACCATGGATGGAAAACTGATAAAAGCAAAGAACATTTGTTTATTCTTCATCCCAGAGTAAATGTAATTGTTATGGTCTGTGTTATGAACATAAACGTGGATATAAAGGATTGTAGTCCTTTTTCCCTGCTATCTTTGCTGTTTTCTGCCCAGTTTGTAAGTCAAAGGTAAGTCACTAAGTAGTACCACAAACTCACAGAAACCTTTAGTAAATGAAAATATCACATTGTGAAGCAACATGTCCTCCACCTTTGGCGTTTTCTTTGGAAAGCTTTTTTTTTTTTAATTAAAAAAAAATCATTTTATTAGGGGCTCATACAACTCTTACCACAATCCATACACACATCAATTGTGTAAAGCGCATTTGTACATTCATTGCCCTCATCATTCTCAAAACATTTTCTCTCCATTTAAACCCCCGGCATTAGGTCCTCATTTTCCCCCTCCCTCCTCGCCCCTCCCCTCATGACCCTTGATAGTTTATAAATTGTTATTTTGTCATATCTTGCTCTGTCTGATGTCTCCCTTCACCCACTTTTCTGTTGCCCATCCCCCAGGGAGGAGGTCACACACAGTTCCATGTAATTGGTTCCCTCTTTCCTACCCACTCTCCCTTTACCCTCCCTGTCTTGCCACTCACACCACTGGTCCTATAGGGCTCATCCGCCGTGGATTCCCTGTATTTTCAATTCCTATCTGTACCAGTGTACATCCTCTGGTCTAGCCAGACTTGCAAGGTCAAATTCGAGTCATGGTAGTGGGAGCGGGGAGGAAACATTTAGGAACTAGAGGAAAGTTGTATTTTTCATCATTGTTACATCGCACCCTGACTGGCTCGTCTCCTCCCCGAGACTCCTCTGCAAGGGGATCTCCAGTGGCCTACTAATGGGCTTTGGATCTCCACTCCGCACTCCCCCCATCATTCACTATGGTAATATTTTTTGTTCTGATGATGCCTTATACCTGATCCCTTCAACACTTTGTGGTTGCATAGGCTGGTGTGCTTCTTTCATGTGGGCTTTGTTGCCTCTGAGCTTGATGGCCGCTTGATTACCTTCAAGCCTTTAAGATCCCAGACGCTATACTTTTTGATAGCCGGGCACCATCAGCTTTCTTCTGGAAAGCTTTTTTATTTGGGGGAATGAACTCTAAGGGGGAAAAAATCAGTGTGGTAGGGTGTATGGGGTAAGATTTCCCAATTACATTATGCTTGGACAACGCTTGTTAGCCTTGAAGAATGAGCAGGTGATTGGCACGAAGATAAAATAATCCTCAGTGTAGGTTTCGTGTCCTTTTCTCACCAATGCAGCTGGAAATTTTCTGAAAACATCTTCCTAATAAGCCTCCCTGGTTGTCCTATTTCCTTTGAGAAAATCTATGAAGACTGCCTCTTTGAAGTCCCCCCAAACAGTCACTATGACCTTCTGAGCTAATCTTTCTGCATTGAATTGGACCTATTTTTCTTTTAAGATACCCTGATGAGACTAGGACAAATACATTACCAAGGGAACTTGTCTGCAGCCATCTACTGATCACAGTTAGGTGCCATCGAGTCAGGTCCAACTCTTGGCAAGCCTTTGAACACTAACATGAAATACTGCTCATCCTGCAGCATCCTCACAACATTTCTTATATAGGAGGCCGTTGTTGCAACCACTGTGTCAATCCACCTTGTCCTGGGTATTTCTGTTTTCCACTGACCGACCTTCAACTTCGCCAAGCCTGATGTCCTTCACCAGAGCCAGGTCTTTCCTGATAGCATGGCCAAAGTGCAAGTTTCACCATCCTCACTTTTAAGGAAAATACTAGGTGGATTTCTTGCAGACGGATTTGTTCAGTATTCTGGCAATTCATGGTACAGTCAATAATCTTCCCAGCACCACAGCTGTTTAAAGGCCTTGATCCTATAAGAGTCTTTATTCATATGAGGCCATTGCAAATACCATGCCTTGGGCCAGGTGCAGCTTTTGGTTCTCAAAGTGGTATCTTTGCTCTTAACACTTAAAAGAAATATTTTGCAGAGAATTTGCCTAGTGCAATACCTTATTTGATACCTTGACTACAGGTTCCATACAAGCACAATTGAGTGTTCTGGTATTCCCATTCTTTGCACCACAGTTTGTTATGATCCACATAGTTGAATGTCACCATTAATACAAAATAGGCACACATCTTCCTAGTATTCTCTTTCAACTATGGCATCAGCAATGATATCCTTGTTCCACATGCTTTTCTGAATCCAACTTGAATTTCTGGCCCCTCCCTGTATTGCAGCAACCATGTTTTTAAAAATCTTCAATCTCCAGTGTTTGGAAGATGCATTAAAAGGATCTCTTCCAGTCAGTTGGCCAGGTAACTGTCTTCCACATTTCTTGGCATAAAGGAGCGAGTGCTTCTAGTGCTTCATGAGCTTGTTGAAACATTTCCATTGAAATCTTGTAAATTCCTGGAGCCTGGTTTGTCGCCAGTGTCTTCAATGTAGCTTAGATTTCCTTCTTCATTAACCTCAGTTCTTAGTCATATGCCATCTCTTGAAATGATTGAACCTCAACCAATTATTTTTGGTAAAGTGACTCTGTGTATTCCTCTCCTCTTCTTTTGATGCTTCCCACATCACTCAATAATTTGCCCATAGACTCCTCCAATGTTACAATTCAAGGCTTGATTTTCTTCTATTCTTTCAGCCTGAGATAAACTGAGCATGTTCTTGCCTTTTGGTTCTCTGACTCCAGGTCTTTATACATTTTATTATAATATTTTACTTCATCTTCTTGAGTCACCATTTCAAATATTTTAGCTCTTTTATTAAATTTCTTTGGTTTGCTTTAACTACCCTGCATTCAAGAGCAAGTTACAAAATCTCTGATGACATCCACTCTGGTCTTTTCTTTCTTGTCTCTTTAATGAGCGCTAGCATTCTTTGAATGGAGCCCTGATTGTGTAGTGGTTATGCGTTGGGCTTTCTACTCCCATAAGCAGTCACATTCTCAGAAATTCACAGGAGCAATTCTACTCTGTCCCATAGGGTTCCTGTGAATTGGAATTGACTCGATGGCAGTGAGTTTATGTTCTTGAGATACAATGTTCTTGACATCATCCCATAACTCCCATGGTCTCGAGTCATTAATAGTCAATGTCTGAAATCAATTCTTAAGATAGTCTCTAAATTAAGGTGACCAGATGTCCCGCTTTTGGCAGGACAGTCCTGATTTTTGGCGTTTTAAAAAAGTCCTGATTTTTGGAAAGAATGCACAACAAGCTAGGGAACAGTCTATTTGGTCCATATAGACCAAATTTTTAATCAAGAACACACACACACACACACACACACACACACACACACACACCGGTCAATGGTGTCCCGCTTTAAATCTGGTCACCTTATCTAAATCCAAGTGGTATACACTCAAAGCTATACTTTGGCTTCTATTGAGTTGTTTTCAGTTTCAACTTTCACTTGCATATGAGCAATCGATGATCTGTCCCGTTATCAGTCCTGGCTTTGTTTCGGCTTCTCTATCATCTCTTCCAACAGATGTGATGAATTTGATTCCTGTGTATCCCATCTAATGAGGCCCATGTGTGTGGTTGCTGTTTATGTTGCTGAGTACATATATGTGAATGAAATTGTTGGTCTTGCAAAACTTCATGGTATCTGGCCTTTTCCATGGGATCTTCTGTCCCGATCAACAGCTCCATTTAGGTGCTGGGGGCCCCCTGCTCAGGTCCAGGGAAGTCAGTGCGTCTGGGGTAGACTGGAGAATGGAAGGCTGGAGAAGAGTATTAAGAATCCCCACGGACCACCAAAAGAACAACCCGATCTGTGTGGGGAAAAGTACGGCCAGAAATGCTCCTCAGAGCACTTTGTCTCGTGTACCTTGGACACGTTATCAGGACAGACTGGTCCCTGGAGAATGACATCACACTTGGTAAAGTAGAGGGACGTCGAACAAGAGGAAGGCCCTCGCTGGACAAGATGGATTGACACAGTGGCTGCACCACGGGAACAAGGGCGAGGATGGCGCAGCAGGTGGTTCCTTCTGTTTCATGCAGGGTCACGTGGGTTGGAGCCAACTTGATGGCACCCAGCAGCAAGAACATTAGGGAAGTTGAGGAGCCTTGCTGGGATAGTGGTTATGAGTTTGGCTGCTTAACTGAAAAGTCAGCAGTTCAAAACCACCAGCCACTCCACTCCACAGGAGAAAGGGGGCTTTCTACTCCTATGAAGAGTTAGTCTTCTCAGCACTCCCCATGTCTAAATAGATGGCAGGAAGTGTGATGCCAATATGAGAGCATTGTGTTGGCGATGAGCTCTGAAAGGTTTTGTGGGTTTTAAGTTTGAAGTACCCCCCAACCTTTTATTTTAGGTTGAAGTCTGAAGAATGTTTGTTTCCCCCCTCCCATTGATTGATGGTTGTCATTGTGTTGTAACTGACATAACTAAACACATGGCTCTGCTACGAAGAGATTGTGCCATGAAGGTCTTTAACTTAAAAAAAAAAACACATTTAAACAACAACAACAAAACAAAACCTCTGTTGTATCGTCTCCAACTTCATTTCCATCACCAAGACCATATTTTCAAACTAGTAATCATTCCTCTTGGTTTCTAACTTTTGCAGTCTGGTTACTGATCATTTTGATGGTGTTGTCTTATGTGTGACCAATTTCAAACTTGGCGGAAGTTGGTAGAATTCTTTGGCTTTGTCCCCGTTGACTACAGTGGTTGCTGCAGAAAGATGGGGCTTTCTAATCCCCAAAGAGTCACAGTCTCAGACACTCACAGGAGCAGTTCTACCCTGTCCTGTAGGGTCACTGTAGAGCTGGCATTGACTCAATGATGGCAGTCCGTGAGTGAGTTGAGGGTGTGTTAATTGGTCTTCCGGGTGGGATTATGGATCTTGTCCTATCACTGAAAGCATTTGACTGTGAGGTAGATCTTGAAATGTCTTTTTGACCACACCTGTGATTCCATCCCTCTTCAGTAGGCCATTTCCAGCACAGTGGGCTGTACGAGTATCCTTTTCAAACTGGCAAGTACCAGTGTGTTTCAGCTCACTTATGCCTATGTATAACTTTTCATTTTTGACAATTCTCATTTTCTTAGATTCCATGGTGATAAGTAGTAGTGTTTTCAGCCGTTGCTTCTCATTTTGAGTTGTGCCCCTTTAGTAAGGAAGGTCCTGAAAGCTTTGCCCCATCCACACCATTCAGATCAGCTCTGCGCTGCCTTGGGGAGGCACCTCTTGCCCAGGTGTCTTTTCAGCCCCTTCTGCCCTAAGGGATTCAGCTTCCGACCCTCTGTCAGACCGTGTTCTACTGATTTTATGAGGTGGCTCATTTTCCAACCTGTGTGCTGGTTCCTTCTTCCTAGTCTGTCTTAGTCTGGAAGCTCTGAAGAAATCTGTCCACCATGGCGGACCCTTTGATATTTGAAACACGAGTGGCATGGGTCCCAGCACCAAAGCAACACACATGTCACTAGGGCATGACAAAATGACAGGGTGGGGACTGATCATAGAAGCATGTTCAAACACTTAAAAGTAATCATAAACTCATGCGTGTATGAACTGGAATGCTAGTAGCAATATTTTCTGACTTACTGTACTAGGTAGTAAGACTCTTCCAGTTTGTCATCCTGCCTAAATTTGAATAATAGTTGTATTAACTGGTCTTCCTTTCAGGCTTCTGGATATCAACCCAGACAGATCTTCAAACATTTTTTGAATTGCGTAAAGAAAATGGGCTCTAGAAATTTAAAGTACTTTAAGAGATCCTTCGGATCTATACAACTTAAGGCTCTTTCTTTTTTCTCTCTAAAGTTTTGAATTAGCCTTCTGAGCAATGTGCATGTTCTTGGACAGGGCAGGTGCAGTTTGGGATTTCCACTCTTCCCGGCGTCTCTCCAGCTAGGGTAATGGCCCCATCTTGAGCTGGACTGTGCTCCCCCCAGGCCTGCAGCCCCACCAGCCTGCTCTAGGGTTGTGTGGTCTACTCCCGCCCCTGCTGCCTGAAGTATCTGTAAGATTTCCTGCAGGACCCTTGGGTGATGCAAATGGGTAACATCCTGAGCGGGTCAAGGGAAGGTTGGAGACGCAGGTCCCCCCAGAGGTGCCTTTGTCATCTGCCTCTGGAGCATCAGCCATTGAAAGCCCCATTCACGCTGACATGCGTGTAGTCACAACGAGTCACAGTTGATTCAATGACGGTCTGTTTGCTTTTTAATGTTTCTTCCGTCATTGCCGTTAGAAGAAGACCTAGCTGGAGATTTTCCTCTTCTAGTTCTCCAGAGGAGTGTCCATTTCCGCCTTTCCCGATGGATCTATACTTGTCTTCCCAAAGAGCAGTCATCCCCTTGCCTTGCTCTTTTGCCTCTTGACCTCAGTGTTTCCTCACACAATGCCCACAGCACGACTTTGTGGGGAAGATGAAATCCTACCTTAGGAGCCATCGAAGGCACTTGTTTGTTTTGGGTCTCCCACGTGGGGAGAGAGTACCATGTATGTCATTGTTTCCGGATACTCTATGATCCGGAATGGAGGCTGTAATTCTCTGCAAATGGCATCTTGTTGAAGCGTTGGCCATTTTGTTGTTGTTGCTGTTGTGTTGTTGATGGTGGTGGTTTTTCCACATCAAACGTTTATGTTTATGTTAATGTTGTGGCAGGAGGATATAAATCTATTCTCAGATATGAGACATTTCTAGCCTGCTGACTCATCACTAATTAGAGGTTTTTTTTCTTTCTTTTTCTCTTCAATGGGTAAAGGGTGATCGTGGAGACAAAGGGGACTCTGGCACCCTGGGACCAAGGGTAAGTGAGCCTTTCATGTAAGCCTTTGCCTCCCACCAGTCTTTGAAAGCATGCACCTGTGTTGCTTTGCAGAAAGCCTCTACGCCAGTGGTTCTCAACCTGTGGGTCGTGACCCCTTTCACAGGGTCGAACAACCCTTTCAAAGGGGTCGTCCGATTCATAACAGTAGCAAAATAACAGTTATGAAATAGCAATGAAAATAATTTTATAGTTTGGGGGTCATCACAACATGAGGAACTGTATTAAAGGGTCACGCCATTAGGAAGGTTGAGAACCACTGCTGTACGCTAAGACCCATCCGAGAGGAGTATTTGAGGCTAGCTGCTAGATTTCTACTATCCTTACCTTTGTCTCCTTACTTTTTAAAATGTCCTCACCAGAAGCAATGAATGTGGAGATTCTCACATATAAAATAAGCTTCATGACAAGAATTTCTAAGGACTCCTCCCCAGCCTCAACCCCTACCATCTACTTTCTCTCTACTACATGAGAAATAGCAAGTCTCTCATCATCCAGCTAAAAGAGAATTTTTAAATTAATTCTGTTAATCAAAGAAAGAAATAATCCATATATTCAGAGCACTGGTTTTTGTTTTTTTTAAAAAACAAGCAAACAGGCAGGGCATTAAGGCCTGAGTAATGGAAATTATCAAACCCACTGCCATCCAGATGGTTCAGACGCACAGGGACCCTCCTTAGAACCTCGGAGGCTGTAAAACTTTATGGGAGCAGACAGCCTCCTCTTTCTCCCACAGAGCAGCTATTGGGTTCCCAGTGCTTGGCTCAGTAATCTAACACTTACCCAACAGCACCACCTTAGGGTGCATATAGTCTCCTTTTTGTTCCCTATTTAGTTGAATAAGATTCTCAGATGTCCTGGTGGTGCAGTGGTTATGAAGAGGGATCCTAACCTCAAGGTTAGCAGTTCAAAACCACCAGCCACTCCGCAGGAGAAAGTTGAGGATTTCTACTCCTACAAAGATTCCGGTCTTGAAAACTCACAGGAGAAGTTCTACACTGATGGCAGGAGATTCCTGCTGGGAAATCCAAGTTTTATCCCTTAAAAAAGGGGTTGTTGGTTGCCTTCAAGGTAATTCTGACTCATAGGTTTAAACTGCCAACCCTTTGCCTGGTAGTCCGATGCTTAACTAACTGTGGCATTCTATCCTTTTTGAGTATAAGAAAGAAATCTGTGAGTACAGATAAGTAGGCAGATATTATGAGTTGTTTTAATAAATACAGATGACACCAACAATAATTTGCCATGTGGATGTAACCTGTTACAGGTGGGAAATGAGAAGTGGCATGCCTCTTTTGAAATGAGAACAAAATTTGAACATTCTTATTCTAGGGAAGCAATGTATATCTAAGAGCCCAAAGTTGCTGTTTCTGGTTTTTGTTTTTGTTTTTCCCCACAGCGCCTTCTATATACTATCCTAATTCCTATCGTTTTACCTTGGTTGGTTCGTTTTGGTTTTGGTAGGGTCCACCTGGTCCAAAGGGGGATCAAGGAGCCACCGAGATCATAGACTACAATGGCAATCTCCACGAAGCCTTGCAGGTAAGTGATGCTTCTCCTCCCTGACACGAACAATGGCTATGGTATTAGCTTCCACCCTCTCTGATCTCCAAAAACTCCACTGCACAGAGCCCACTTTCTCCCTGTTCCTTCTATCATATCCCTTTCTCCCTGCCCAGTTTATCTGCTTTAGTTCCCGGCTTTTTCAATATCCCACTTTCAGCAAGCTCTTTCCTTTCCACCTTCAAACATACTTACATGTTGTCAGGCATACACTTTGTATCAGTGTGGCCAAGCTTTGCCTCCTTGCTTGGAGCGAGAGCTGTATTTAGCAAAGCCCATGAGCACCCAGTAGGATTGGAGCTAGCGCTGCCTGGGTTCACATCTCTGCCCACCTGCTTGCCGAGTGTGTGATCTGGCAACTTCCCTGTGCCTTGCTTTTCTCATCTGTAAATTTAGTTAAAATGGTAGCAACTTTGGAGGATTTTTGTGAGTTGCAAACAGTTCAAAACAGATGAGAGGGTTTCAAAAGCTGTGTGGCAACGTGGAAGTGAAAGGTAATGGAATTTTCCCACAAATGTTTTGAAGCCCCATGCCTTATGCACTGAGAATAGAACTTGTCACGTGGAAAGCCCAGTGGGAGTATTTGCAATGCTGCTACTCTTCCATTTTGAGGCCTCCATTGATGAAAAGAATCATTAAGCATGTCGTTTGACTTCCCTATCCCGCATCCCAGCCAATCTTTCCATAGGTAAACCCTAGTGCTGTCTACTCCAGTAGAGTTACAATCTTGGAAACCCACGGGGAAGTTTTACACTGTCCAAGAGGGTTGCTATGAGTCAAAAGTGACTCAGTGACAGTGAGTTATCATAACCCTATTGAAGCTGCTCTCACACACGTCTACAATAATGTCAAGGTCAAGCTCATGGCACCCATCACCCTTCACTTGCCTGGGTCATTTACAGGACACCACTTCCCTTTTGAAAAACTTTTTTGACCTCTCTAATCTCCTACTTTGATTTCTCTCAATTGTCTTCTGTGTTCAATCCACTCGGCCTTGATATTTCCAACTGCATGATCCAGCCCCGGATTCTTTGGTATCCTCAAGTCTCTGCTGTTTCCTCAGTGTAATCACTTCCTCTGCGGCTCCCCCTTTTGGGACACCCAGATCCTTTCTCTTGTCCAGCATTGATTGGCAGGTATCCCCAGCTGCCAGCAAGAGTGCTTCCAGCAGAACTCCATCCAACTTCCACTTGTCCCACTGGTCAAATATAGTCATTTTCTTCACTAACCATTTTGTTTGTGATACCATGGATCTTCAGATTTCTTGGGACAGAAACTTGAGTCCTTCATCCAGCTCACCAGTTGCTGCTATTTCTCTTTCAAAGTGTCCGTACAAGTGCCCATTCTTTCCATTCC